TAATAATAATAATAATAATAATAATAATAATAATAATAATAATAATAATAATAATAATATATTTGAGGCCATCCATCATAGTTCCTTGGTATACGGATATGATAACAATAAGAATACAGTCTACTATATACTAATCAAGTCACTTTTCATATTATTCTTACCTTTGAAAGATGATCAACATACAAATATCCAATGCTACAGTTAATTGTCACTCCTTGACTTTCCTTTTCTGATATTTGAAAATGTATCTGTGTTTCTTCCTATTGTAAAAATGAACAATATATAAGAAGGCAGAAATAGATGAAAGTTTCACAAAAAACCAATTTTTAAAATTGACAAGGCAACAAAAATCTCTAGATCAGAGGTTTCCAACATTTGTGGCTTGGTGGCCTGGCTGGAAGGAAGAAAGGACCTGGGCTGTGTGACTGGTGGGCCAATGCGCATGTGCATGCACACAGCTCTACTTGCGTGAGTGGTGAACCGGTGCACATGCACATCCATGCCAGCCCGTCACTCCCACAGCCTGAAATTTGCTCAGCCTGATTCTGAATAGGTAACTGCCCAGTAGTGGGCTGTGGTCCAGGCGTTGGGGACTCCTGATCTAGATGTGTTGTGAGATTTTGATTATAAGGAAGACTGAAAATGGGATTCTATCTAGCCTTTTCCCATTATACGTCTTTCTTGACTAATTTTCTCCCCCTATTTTCTGAAAGGGTTTGCTTTGCTAGAAAGGGGTACCTGTATGTCTTCCCAAAAAGAAAATAGCAGTTTTGAAGGAATTAAAAAAAATAAATCAGAAAATGATTTAGGGAGTAAGGGTCACTCAATGGTTAAGATTCTGGGCTTATCATCTTACCAGTTTGAGACCCAAGCTCCCATCCTTGCCCCAGCTCCTACCAAACTAGCACTTGAAAAGTATACAAAACCAAGTAGATAAATAGGTATCACTTCAGTGGAAAGGTAACAGCGCTCCATGACGTCATACTCGCCACGACTGTGGAAATTACTTTGGGCAGCGCTGGCTCAATGTTTTTGAAACAGAGATGAGTACACACACACCCCTATGGTCAGCAGTGACTAGCAGAGTAAAATCTGAAGGGATTCCTGTGCCTTTTTAGGGAGAAAAAGTTAACATTAGCTCCACTTCTTCAGATAAAAATCCTACATCCAAGTTGCTCTTTATTAAAAAATACAGAGGTATTTGGAGGATTGAATAAAACAAGAAAACAGGAAAAATTTAGAACTTCTTGTGATGGTAATCATCGCCATACTGCCTGTGTTCTCTGCAGGCCAATAATACCACCAGCACTGCCACTGATAAAAATCTGAAAGTTTAATTCACTTCAATGTGAACCTCAGGTTTTTTAGAAGGCACTGATTAGGCTTATCATTCAAAGAGAAAAGAGTGGACTCTATCTTCCCAGTTACATTATGTCTACTGAAAAGTTTCAAATCTTTCAAATTGTAAAGAAAACTTATGATTTATGAAGTTGATGGGACATTGTTATTTTGGATAGAGAAAAAGGGAAAGGAAACGGACCATAATAAAAAAGGCACAATATTTTGTTGCGTATGTAATCATAATCTGTAGTGTGGTCTAGTGATTTCCATGATGATTATTGGTGATGCACCTGCTGGCTGCCAGCTTCTATAAATTTAATTCATTTTCCCCCTAAGCAAATTGGAAGCTATTTGAAGTCCTTACATTCAACACAGAATAAATTACTTTCTGTTGTTCATGTGTCACTGGCCACATAGAGGAGACAATTTATAGGTAGGTCTAAACAAAATGTCCAATTGTGTACAATGTTAAAATTCTGCTTTACTTTTTTGTTTTGGGCAAAAAGTGATCTTTGACATGTAGCTTGTTTGCTGCTTCATTAAAAAAAATGGAAATTTTTCATTATAATTAAATATACTTTGCTTTGCTAGAAAATTGTATCTGTAGCTTCCCAAAGAAGAGAGATTTTTTGAAGGGAAATTTATATGGTTTTATAAACAACTGTTTTACTATATAGTCCTTGACATACTTATTCTGCAGCAAGCCCCACTGATTTCGATGAAACGAAAAGAAAAAAAAATGTTTTAATCTATTCATCTTTTTCTCTTATTCAATGAGTAATATTAAGTGGACCAAATAGTCTGGAAGAATAACTGTAGTTTTGTACATTGGTTTAAATCAGTGCCACTGTTTTATTTCAGTTTCTCTTGTGAATTAAGTTTCACATTTTTTTAAATGAAACTTTTGTTTGTTTGATTTTTAGCTGAGCAAATGAAAAAGTGCCTGGCAAATTATTTTATACAAAGATACAGAAAATAGGTTTCTTACCTGTGCTACAAGTTTGGTGAAATAGAGACCTTTAGGCAGCTGGATATGAAGGCTGGTCTGATAAGCATCGTCGCCAGCATTGTACAAGCTGATATTCAACATCACCTGTTTTACATTTCCCACTGAAAGGTAAGGTTTCTTTTCATAAGGCCTATACAAAATGAGTAAGAATATACATCGTTTTTATTTAAACCACTTTTTGAACTGCAATTTTAATACAACAGAAAAGGAAACACTGTATTTAATTTTAGATTTCTTTTGTCCTGCAACTTACTGTTAAGAAATTCAGACCAGGCTTTTCCATTGCAAAATTCAATATGTGCATCCTTTCATTAAAAAAAAACGGAATTTGCTCTTAACTATGCTATCATTTTGGAAAGTTATCATTTTCAAAATGTATCTTTGATATGAAAGTAAGTTGACACTGCCTGTAGATAATCAAAGGATACTATCCATATGTATATTTTTCAGATGAATTCCTGCAAGCTGATTTGATCTCAGAATTAAGAGAAGCAGCCAACTGTCTAGTGATAATTTTAGCAAGTGAATATATTTGATCACTTAGTAAGCTGGTTGTTTATGTCCATCTTAAAGGATAAAAAATAGGGGCGGTAGATCGCAACTCTCTGCGGCTATCGTTCGTGCTCTTTCGTCGGAGAGCCCCAATCATCCTGATTAGGGGCTGAAACTGCCTTGGAGGGGCAGCGGAGTAAGAGGAAGCAACAAGCCTGTTTGTGGGGAGCCGCATCTCCCCCCCCGGGCTTGTTTTTTTTTCCTCCCGAAGACGACTGCAGCGATGGTCTAAAATGGCCATCCCGAAGAGGATGACTCAGCTTGACTAAGATTTGTGCAGGAGGGAAGAAAGAGGTGGATAACATCTGAACCGGGACAACTGGGCAACATAACCAAATAAAAGTACCCCGGGATTAAGGTAACATAGAACTTTTAAGAAAAGAAACGTGAGCGGCGAAATTACAAAGAGACAGAGAAATAAAGGAAAATATTTTTGTCAGCTAAATGGGGCTTCGAACCGGGAAAGGAAGAAGCTGGAATTAAAGATTTTATGAAATTGGACTAAAATAATTTGGGAATAATCAAGTATAAAATTAAAGCTGGACTTAAGATTGTCAAAGAATAATAATAATAAAGTTTACAAATTGGAGACTGGATTGTGTTGGAATATTGAGGTTCGAAAAACCTTAAATAAAAATACAGGGGGGAAAAAGTGAAGACTTCGTATAATGGAGAGTGTCACCTTTTGATAAAAATTTAGTTCAAATAAAAAGGAAAACATTTTGTTTTTGAATGAACTGATATGGATATAACATTACAGAAATATTGAAACAAAGTAAGAATTTTGGAAAGTGAAAGCAGAACCAGAATAAAGGAAAAAGCAAGGAAGGAAAGATTGTTTGTGGGACTGATTGATGTTTTTGGTTTAGACCCTGGACTGGAATAGCTGAGAACTTTAAAAAATTGAAAGAAGAAAGAAGGAAAGTAAAAGTGGTTTCTTTTTGTGGACTTTAAGGATCATAAAATATAAGAATGATGATATCTCTCTGGGATTTAAAAATGGAACTTAAAAATATGAGAGAATTACTACAGGAAAGAGGCGAATCACTTTGCTCTGTACTAGAAAAAATGGAAATGGCGATTGAAGAACAAGAAGAAAGATTCTCAGAGGAGCAGGAATTGACTCAAGGAGAAGACACTTTGAATGGACAATTAACACAAAGAACGTTACAAAGAAGTGGGGAAAGAAGGAAGGTTAAAAAGTTCAATTTCAGGAAAGCAATTAAAAGGGGGAATAATTGTGAAGTTAGACGCAGGAAGATTCAGCAGAAAAGGGGAAGGGAAGATATTAAGGAGATAAATTGGAATGAGAAAAGTTATGGGGAAAAGAGAGGGAGGAGAAGCAGTAAGAAACACGCATGTGAAGGGGAGAAACACAGAACTGGTAAAATGTTGAAAGGAAATTGTTTCTTTACAATTAAAAGAAGGAATACTTGTGAAGTCAGGAAATGCAGAAAGAATGAGAAAAGACATGGACAAGAGATGGGGAGGAGAAGCAGTGGGAAACACGTGGGTGAAAGAGAGAAACACAGAACTAGTAAAATGTTGAAAAGAAATGGCCTTTTCAGAGATAATGGTTGATGAATTAAGGGGGGGATTCTGCAGGGTGACAAGGGGTAATAAGAATATTTCTGCAATTAAAAATATTTAGAAAATAGGGTAATATAGATACTGATAACTCTTGTTAAAGGGGGAAATATGCTGTGGAATCCAATTGAGAAGATGTAATGACTAATGGTTTATTGGGAATTAAGATAAGGGAATAAAGGTATATTCTAATCATTAAGGTGGAACACTTAAAATAGTAAAAGGGGAAACTTATACTTGTTCTTTTTTCTTTTTGTGTGGGTGTGTTAAGATCTGTATTAATTTAGAATTTATAAAAAAAAAGTGTAATGGAAAGGGAATGTGACAGACTAAAGAACCAGCTAAATTAATAAGCTTAATAAGTTTAATATAGATTATTAAAAGCAAGGAGAGACATTGAACTTCATTATTACCATTATTAGGCAAATATATATTGTTTATTTTTATTTTTAAAATAAATATTAAGGATTATACTTGAAATAATTGAAATGAAATTTAAAAATGTTTAGATTGGGACTAATGAAAGAATTTAGAATTAAACCTTATTATTATTTATTAGGCAAATATATATTGTTTATCTTTACGTTTAAAAATAAATATTAAAGGATTATATTTTAAATAATTGAAATGAAACAAAATTGATTGAAATTAATGAAAGAGGCTAGAATTAATGTGTTTGTTTCTCTCCTTACTGAAAATTTGGAATGGAAAAGGTAATAATAGAATTAAGTATGCATATATCAATGTATAATTTCTGTCATATTTGTATGTAAAGATGATGACCCGGAAATATGTTGTCCACTAAAAAGAGATTTTTGTTTTTAATGTGAAAACTGAATAAAGTCTGTTTAAAAAAAAAAAAAAAAAAAAAAGGATAAAAAATAATCTCACTTCATGTGAATCTCATTCCAGGATAGACCAGCGATGTGATCCCAGAAAAAAGTGAGGAAATATTAACCAGGTTCTGTGGATTTAGGTGCTTTAGGCAAATTTATGTAATAGAGGAATGCAAGAGCTAACAAGCTTCATATATATCATAACAGCACAAAATTTGTTTCTGTGGGTCAAAGGAAAGTCCCTGTGATACTTTGTGTGAGGTTGTGAATGCTCCAACACTGGAAGTTTTAAAGAAGAGATTGGATAATCATTTATCTTGCCTAAGCAGGGGGTTGGACTAGAAGACCTCCAAGGTCCCCTCCAACTCTGTTATTCTATTCTACTTTGAGCTATCTAGATAGACTAACGATAAGATAGAACAGTTATAACCAAATATTTTTTCCAGCTATATTTGGATCCCACTTGTTGTATCTTCCAGTGTGGCTTCTACAGAAGTTCCTCCGAGCAAATGTGATTAAACTGTAAAGGTCAATGCAACAAAAAAGAAAAAATGCACTGGGAGTATGCATGTTAACTTTATTTAACATAAATGCATTTTAATTAAACTCATATCAGATCCAATTTAGCTTTTATTCTGCTAGTTTTGGGTGGGTGGCTTTGGGCTGAAAAAAAAGTGCATAAAATTCAGTTTCTGTACTAGTTGATCTCTTTGCAAGACAGAGTAGTTGCCTGTCTTTCTACCATGGAATGAAAAAAAAAATTACTACATATTTGAAGTAGTCAGCACACAACTGTTATCTATTTTCCTGCTAAATTTTCCCATTCCTCAGCCAATTAGGTATGTGTGTGATATAATTTTCCTTACCATTTAAGCAATGCATAATAGCAGATGATCCGCAAACACATACCAAACACCACAACGAACTTCTTTTTTGCCCTCATTCTCTGCTCAAACACTGACTTTAGTTCTTTATCCTTTCTAGAAAATCTGTTTCTCTCTATATAACTGGAATTGCTCAATAATTAACAAGACATACCTTCTATGTGTGCTACAACCACAATCATTGCTAGTTAAATGTCTCTTTTTTAATGCAGCTGATATGTTGCACAAGAGCGACTGTCGATTTACTCTCAATCAAGGTTAATGAAAGGCAGGACTTGTGCACACGAGCGAACATGTATATCTTATGTTTCACCCAGTGTTCTCTAATAATGTTAACAAGTAAATAGGAAAAAAAACACCTAAAAGGATTTGAAACTAAACTTCAATCTGACATTAAACTTTAATTAAGACTTGCAGAAGAGCTGCCTTGAAGTAGGCATTTATCAAACATTCTGGCTTGAGACCAATACATTTAGTCATTTAATACCTTGGGGAGAAAAGTTGGCACTTAGACAAGCAACACAAGGTAAAAGTACTACATAAGCAGTAAGTTTCAAATGAAAATGTGAAATACAAATACTAATATTTCAGTGGCTGAGCTTCTACTTAATGGTATGCGTGAAAGTTCCTTTAAATATAAATAATTGATATTCTTTCCTTTCCTGCATTCTACTTTTATGGTGTTTTGCTTTGTTAGAAGAGCGATGTGTAGATTATAAAAATCCATAAAGCAAACTAACAGTTGTTCACTTTATTCAGGGTTTCCTCTTCTTCCTTTAATCCAGTACACACAATTTATATGAAATATATACCTGTCAACTCAAATTAATTGAATTATCTGATTAAAGTAATTTAGAAAGGGTACACTAAGGTAAACCATAAATACTCTTACCTGGCTTTCTTACGTAAGACGGTTGGAAGACAGCCATGTTAGTGTAATGTAACAAAATGTCAGAAGAAATCTGATAACAGCTTTCTGACTGACAAATTTTGTTAAAAGGCATAAGTTTTCCCAAGCTGCAGCATCAAATGCACAGACCTGATCTTATGCATCTGACAAGCAACTGCTTGCAAAAATGTATGCTTCCTAATAGCATTTGTTAGTTGGAAAAGATACCACCAGCCTCCTGGTTATAAGAAGTTAGTTTCCTTAAAAAAATAAAATGCTGTTCGCAAGTAAAGAATAAGTATCTGGAGAAAATAATTAGGTGTTTCACACTTTGTGAAAAGCAAAACAAGGGAAATGTGATAGCACCAATCCCATTTGTTTACACCTCTGTCTGCCACTATTGAAGCTGGAGGCTTTTTTTTTTAACCAGCAAAAAGACATGATTAGAATAGGGTTTTTTTCTTGTCGTTTTCATCTACTAAAAAACCCCTTCAGAGCAGAGAGGAATGGAAGTAAAAATAGTAAAGATACGATGTTCCCCTTCCCAACTATTTTTCCCTAAAATTTTAAGCCTCCCTCCTTGCCTTATATTTTATTTTTTGATTTATTTTATTTTGTCAAGCGATTATAAGATAACAGGTATAAGTATAAACATAGTTATGAATACATGAAATGGATACAGATAAGAAAAATATGTATATTTAAACAGATTAATCTCTCATTGTTACAGTAAGTTCATCACTATGTAACTAATGAAAAGATGAATTAATTAATTTTTTAAAATACCATTAATCTTCAGCCTACTCTTCAGCCCAACCCTAAGAAATAGGATATCCAGGAAAATTTGATGAAACCTAAATTGAGCAGATTTTGAAAGCTCCAGAAGATTTTTTTTAGATGAAACAGAAATCCTCTAAAACAGACCAAATCACTATGAATTCCTGGATGGTTCAGATGGGCATAAACAGGCTACAACTCATCTCTATAGGAAACAGGACCCTGGAGAGAAGGGAAAGAGAAAGAACCATAGGAACTGAATGACTGTCAATTTCTAAGGAAGATTTAAAATGAATTATTTTGACATCATGCAGAATGGCTATGGCCCTGAAAGATGACAGTGCAAAAGAAGTGCAAAAAAGAGAAATGAAATCAGATTAGAATTCAGGTAGAGAAATAATTTCAAGGCTTGGTTCCTAAGGAGGAAAAAAAAGATTAAGTCAGCCCTGAAAAGACAGGACTGACAGGCCAATTAAATTCAGGAAACAGGAGAACAGATCATGCAAATTTTGCCTTTATAGAAGGGTAATTTCAAAATTCTAGCCTTTGTAATCTGTAAAAGAATTTTTCATTGCAGTTCAGCAGAACATCTGCTTGAATGTGAAAAACATTCACATTTCCTTTTTACACTGCTCAAAAAAAATAAAGGGAACACTTAAACAACACAATGTAACTCCAAGTCAATCACACTTCTGTGAAATCAAACTGGCCACTTAGGCAGCAACACTGATTGACAATCAATTTCACATGCTGTTGTGCAAATGGAATAGACAACAGGTGGAAAGCATAGGCACTTAGCAAGACATCCCCAATAAAGGAGTGGTTCTGCAGGTGGTGACCACAGACCCCTTCTCAGTTCCCATGCTTTCTGGCTGATGATTTGGTCACTTTTGAATGCTGGCGGTGCTTTCACTCTAGTGGTAGCATGAGACGGAGTCTACAACCCACACAAGTGGCTCAGGTAGTGCAGCTCATCCAGGATGGCACATCAATGTGAGCTGTGGCAAGGTTTGCTGTGTCTGTCAGCTTAGTGTCCAGAGCATGGAGGCGCTACCAGGAGACAGGCCAGTACATCAGGAGACGTGGAGGAGGCCGTAGGAGGGCAACACCCCAGCATCAAGACCGCTACCTCCGCCTTTGTGCAAGGAGGGACAGGAGGAGCACTGCCAGAGCCCTGCAAAATGACCTCCAGCGGGCCACAAATGTGCATGTGGCTGCTCAAACGGTCAGAAACAGACTGCATGAGGGTGGTATGAGGGCCCGACGTCCACAGGTGGGGGTTGTGCTTACAGCGCAACACCGTGCAGGACGTTTGGCATTTGCCAGAGAACACCAAGCTTGGCTAATTCACCTCTGGCGCCCTGTGCTCTTCACAGATGAAAGCAGGTTCACACTGAGCACACGTGTCAGACGTGACAGGTTCTGGAGACACCATGGAGAATGTTCTGCTGCCTGCAAAATCCTCCAGCATGACCGGTTTGGCAGTGGGTCAGTAATGGTGTGGGGTGGCATTTCTTTAGGGGGCCGCACAGCCCTCCATGTGCTCGTGAGAGGTAGCCTGATTGCCATTAGGTACCGAGATGAGATCCTCAGACTCCTTGTGAGACCATATGTTGGTGCAATTGGCCCTGGGTTCCTCCTAATGCACGACAATGCTAGACTTCATGTGGCTGGAGTGTGTCAGCAGTTCCTGCAAGATGAAGGCATTGATGCTATGGACTGGCCCGCCTGTTCCCCAGACCTGAATCCAGTTGAGCACATCTGGGACATCATCTCTTGCTCCATCCACCAACGCCACGTTGCACTACAGACTGTCCAGGAGTTGGGGGATGCTTTAGTCCAGGTGTGGGAGGAGATCCCTCAGGAGACCATCCGCCACCTCATCAGAAGCATGCCCAGACGTTGTAGGGAAGTCATACAGGTACGTGGAGGCCACACACTACCGAGCCTCATTTTGACTTGTTTTAAGGACATTACATTAAAGTTGGATCAGCCTGTAGTGTTTTTTTCCACTTTAATTTTGAGTGTAACTCCAAATCCAGACCTCCATGGGTTGCTAAATTTGATTTCCATTGATAATTTTTGTGTGAGTTTGTTGTCAGCACATTCAACTATGTAATGAACAAAGTATTTAATAAGAATATTTCATTCATTCAGATCTAGGATGTCTTATTTTTGTGTTCCCTTTATTTTTTTGAGCAGTGTAATTTATGCACCATGATTGTGAAAATACATAATTTTTTTACTGAAAACTAGGTCTGCTGTTGGTATCACTGAAGCCTACAAATCGATTTACCCACATCATGATAAATAAGATTGGCCTGCGAGACTTATTATATGCACAAAAATAGAAAAAGACTGTGAAATATCACAATGGAAGAATGGGTAGTGAAGATGACAGAAATAGCAGAGATAACAGAATTAACTTGTTTGATTAGAGAAGATTTGAGTTCTTACAGTCCGCATCAACTCTCATAATGCTAAACCTCCGATTATCATTACAGGGTACGAAGCAAAAGACAGCATGAGGTAACAGGTACAATTTTATAACAGAGGACATGCAAAGATCCAGAGAAAAAGATGTATGCTTTTCACTAGTAAATGCAAAGTCTGCGGTGAGTAAGTCTATGCTTTCTAAAGAAAAAAGGAGAGACAACATTCCTCCTCTGCCTAAAATACCATGGGAAGATATAATTCTGCATATATAAGTGGAATTTCATTGTTTTATTTAATCAAATAAACATCACGGTGACCTGACCAAACGGTTATAGGAATAGTTTACAATATCTAATCTTAGGAAGTTGCTATGCTCTTTCAACAATGTACTTTTTTGTTAAATTATAGTGCAGAGGTCCATATGGACATTAATGCATTTGTTGCATTCACACATAATATCAAGCCAGATTTTTTTAAACCACTATTTGTTGAATGGGTTAAACAAGTAAAATTGAACTGGAAGAACCATACTGTATACAATGGTTCAGTATATGTAAACAGATCAGTGAAACATGTTTTGAAGCTAGCAGAATAATTCCATATTATTATTATATACTCATATTAACATAGTTTCTCATATAGTGCCAGGGGTCCACATGTTTACTCAGCTCCTCTTTGTGTCAATTTACTCAGCTCCTCTATGACTCCACTATGTAACTTCAGACTCTATTCTTTATGCCTTGCAGAACTTTGATATCTGATTCCGTTCTTTCTAAAAATAACTTTTTAAAAAAATAGAAAGTGAAGTTTATGAACCTTGTTCACTTTCTCTGCATTATAATGGACTTACTTTGGAAATGTAAGTTTTCCAGAAACTTGAAGGTTTGCAGAACAGTTTTCTTCAGTACAAAATCTTGCAAAGGCAAACTTTGAAAGAAGAACAGAAACAACTTTTTAGAACAATTTTGAATATATACATTCAAAAATATTTTACCATGAAATCCAAAATAACCAATAAGAAAACATCATCTGCCTTTCAAATTACATGAATTTGGCACCCTCCTTTTCAATTCATGCCATTGTGTCTCTACCAAAGGCTCATTTTGGGCAGCTTTTTAATCAATAATTACAGTGGCTATATTTTCTTGGGGAAAAAAGATAAAACACAAACCTGAAAAAGGGGTTCACAAGGATAAAAAAAAAGTTTTATAACTTTATGTAGTAAAAACAAAAAACAAAACCAAGAAAATAATTAAATTAAATAAATCTAAAGGGCAGCTTTCTGAAATAAAAATCTGTCCTTTATAATCAAAGATACATGGTCACTGTACCAAAAGTTCAAAGCGGCCCTTATCACCACATAAAGCTTCAGACATACCACAACATCAAACGTGGGGTGTTCTTGTAAGATTATCTAGAAAAAAAGTCACAAAACCCTTTCCAACACACAAATAGGTAAAGGTGCCAAACCCCAAAAACAAGCAATTGGGCATTTGCGCCAGCAAACCCCAAAATATTTCCTCTATCTTGAGTAAAAATAAATTAAAGAATTAGCCAGGTATTGCCAATTCACAGCAAAAATAATTAAAAACAATTTCTGGGACAGCCATATCACACTGCCTTATGACAAGAATTATGGGTGATGAGAAAAATACTTCTTTTAAATGAAATAGTTTCCAAAGCAAAGTGACAAGAAAAGAACAGAAAGTGCTTCTCTTTTGACATTTGTGTTGGATGCCACTAGGAAAGTTCATGTGGAAACAAATCCCTTTGATCTTTCACCACAACAGTATCTAGAGAACATGTGTAAATTTAGAGCAGTTGTTATGTTCAACTACTTTTCCATCCTTTATATTGAAAAACTGTGTATTAGAAAATAGAAATATTTGCCTTGATCCAGAAAACTATCCCAGCAGCAGAGGTCCTACGTTGTTATGTCTGAACTGCTGCCTGATATTTTCTGTAGATTAAGGCAATCAGTTAGTTGTTTGGCTTAATATGTAGCAAGTTCGTTTACCGTTTGACATTTAATAGCCATCCAATGTATACTCAAGGCTATAGGGCTTCATCATGTCTCAGTTATTTTAAAAGAATGGATGAATCACAACAGCAGATGAGGATCCAGATTCCATATGGTTTTAATAGTTACAGAATATAGCACAAACATGTGTTCTCCTTCCCTTCTGCATGAGAAAGTGCTCTTTCTATAGTTTTATATGTGAAAATGCTATAAAATCCATATTTAGTATAGCTAATATTACTTCAAAGTCAGGCCTATTATTCTTACCCACTATCTAGTCCATATAAGTAAAAATCCTTCAGATGAGAATCTGAAACAAAAAAGTAGCTCATTGCAATTGGTGTCTACCAGCTTGCTAGACTTCATTTACCACCATACAAGCCAGCATGACATACCTTGCTGTGCACAATATTATCCTCCTTCCGTTGCTGAAGTACGGGCTGGAGTGGTTGGAGTTCATCAGCATTTCTCTTCTTCAAAACATGGTGTCCCAGGTGATAGGTAGCTTCAACATGTATAGGAGTTTGAATATCCCTTACATCTTTCTAAGCACGTGAAATCAAATAAATGAATTGTATAAAACCAAAAACAATATTCACCAATCAACAATATAAGCAATTTCTATGTTTCAGCATTTATCCTGAAACAACACGTAAGGTAGCTAGTTTTGCATGGCAGCGTACACCCCAAATTTGAATTCTCTCTAATAATGCTTCTAAGGAAATCCATTCAAAAGCAAACCCCAAGCAACGGTATGCAAACATGAACTTTGCATATTTAAGAATGTTTTAGCATAGTTTTTATTTCTATGATAAAATTCTTCATAACACAAAGCACATGATATTTTATTGTTTAAGAAAAATGCCCTTTCCCCTATGGCCCATGCTGATTACCCACTCAATTTATAAAGCTCAGAGTGAGTCGTATTTAAATGTTTTCAGTCCCTTAGATTTATTCTACTGCAATACAGATTGAAGTGCTGCTTATATTGAAGCACTAAGGACAGACAGTGGAAGAATGAGCATAAATCTTGAAACAGCAGTGAAGCTGATACTCCATTTCTCTCTTTTATTAATGGCGCAGTCCTGATTTTACTAGGATGTAAGTCCCATTGAGCATAATGGAAGTCATTTTTAACTAAACAGTAAATTTATGTTTAAATTCAAGATATGGAATCTTGTATGCTGCAGTAATTACTACACTTGTATGCTGGAATAAGTATAATTTCTTTAAATTTACCCAAGTTATGGAAGGTTTTATATTGTGTTTAACTGCTTGTGAAAATAAATCTATACAAAGTATCAAAGATTATATTAAAGTTGATTAAATTATTCCCTTGACGTGGAAGATGTCACTGATTGTTCTTCCACAGGTTCCCTGCCCTGATTTTCAATAACAAGTTTGTTTTGATCAGTTCATGTTTTCCAATTCATTCTGATTTTCCACAAGGTTTCTTTGCATCTGCTCTGTATTATTTTCATTACACCAATTAGCTATTAATTATTTTCTCAGGTATTGAAAAAGCATGATTTGAAAAAAATGAAAGTTTGATATCTGACACCAAATTCACTTAACCTCAATGTCTTTTTACAAGTTCAAAAGTTACAGGATGAGAAAGAAAAAGCTGAAGAAGCTTCTTGAAGAAGCGAAACATCTTCAAAGAAAACCAAGAAAGTCCAGTTATCTCTTGAAAAAGCACCTTTGGGACAACCATGACCTGGATGACTGAGAATCTCCATGGTTGACTTGTGATAGATGGGAAACATAAATTGTGATGTAAAAAGCAAAAGTGTCTATTTTCATGACTTGAATAAATCTTGAGAAATGACCATGGCCAGAGTTTGCTGCAGGTTCCCTAACAGGAGTCAACTAAAGCTTTTTGGATAACCTTCCCAGTGAACACTTCCATCCCAAGAAGTCTATGAAGATAATCTTACCCTCATGAATGCCTGATGGGTTCTGCATGTAATATTGTTGTTGCTATAGATCCGGACACTTCCAAAGGTGGCTTCAGAGGTTCCATTAGAGGAAAAATAAAACCTCGCTGCAGTATCTGGCCTTCTATTAATATCCAGGCTTAGATTATAAAGCAGTACTGTAAAGATTTTAAAAAAGGAATAAAAAAAATAGAAACATTTCCATATTTATTAAAGTGATGGTGAGCTACTACTTATGTTAACACACACAAGGCAGCAAGTTGTAAGTGGTTCTATATTTTCAGAATTTTCTGTCCAATCTTTGGAACATCACTTATTATTATTAAATCTTAAAAGAAAAAAAAATCAGAATGTGTATTCAGAATCTGGTATGTGTGTGCGCATATAAATAATGAGGACACATTAATGTCTTTTAATGTGATATATTTCTCTGTCTTCCTACAAATATAACACTGCTTAAAGAACATGTAGCTTTTCTCCAGAGGGTACTCTAAGTTTGTAATTTACCAAGATAATATGCATAAAATACCATGTACTTAACCTTTTTACTCTGCCTTGAAAAGTGAGTTATAATACATATGCCTGTGTTTTAGGGGAACATAGCCTGCAAGATTATGAGCAGAATTCTCTTTTTATTATCATAACCCCTAAGGAGGAACACTGTGGGCTAATCATGCAAGGATAAATCACTTTCAAATTATTCACACTGTGTGTGTATGTTTGCCTGTGTGTGCATGCCCATGCCTCTGAGAGCTGTCTGGAGAATCCTATGCAGTTTTCATGGCAACAATTTTGTAAATGGCTTGAGAGAGAACAACTGGCTAAAGACACCCTTTACCATGTCTAAGGCAAGACCACAGTTCAGCATTTTCTGGTCTCTAACCTAATGTCTTTAACCAATAAACTCAACTTGCTCTCTAGGATCATTTTAGATCACATTAACTCTTGTATTTTTTTTTAAAGTTGCACTATTCATCCTTTGGATTATATAGTTTATGTAATTAATTATGTGTGTGTGTGTGTGTTAATACATAATTATATAATCTATATTATAATATAAACAGTATAAACTATACAACTATATACACTGCTCAAAAAATAAAGGGAACACTTAAACAACACAATGTAACTCCAAGTCAATCACACTTCTGTGAAATCAAACTGTCCACTTAGGTAGCAACACTGATTGACAATCAATTTCACATGCTGTTGTGCAAATGGAATAGACAACAGGTGGAAAGCATAGGCACTTAGCAAGATATCCCCAATAAAGGAGTGGTTCTGCAGGTGGTGACCACAGTTCCTATGCTTTCTGGCTGATGGTTTGGTCACTTTTGAATGCTGGCAGTGCTGACACTCTAGTGGTAGCATGAGACAGAGTCTACAACCCACACAAGTGGCTCGGGTAGTGCAGCTCATCCAGGATGGCACATCAATGTGAGCTGTGGTAAGAAGGCTTGCTGTGTCTGTCAGCGTAGTGTCCAGAGCATGGAGGCGCTACCAGGAGACAGGCCAGTACATCAGGAGATATGGAGGAGGCCGTAGGAGGGCAACAACCCAGCATCAGGACCGCTACCTCCACCTTTGTGCAAGGAGGGACAGGAGGAGCACTGCCAGAGCCCTGCAAAATGACCTCCAGTGGGCCACAAATGTGCATGTGGCTGCTCAAACGGTCAGAAACAGACTCCATGAGGGTGGTATGAGGGCCTGACGTCCACAGGTGGGGGTTGTGCTTATGTGCAGGACATTTGGCATTTGCCAGAGAACTCCAAGATTGGCAAATTGGCCACTGACGCCCTGTGCTCTTCACAGTTGAAAGCAGGTTCATACTGAGCACATGTGACAGACGTGACATGGTCTGGAGACGCCATGGAGAACGTTCTGCTGCCTGCAACATCCTCCAGCATGACCGGTTTGGCAGTGGGTCAGTAATGGTGTGGGGTGGCATTTCTTTAGGGGGCCGCACAGCCCTCCATGTGCTCGCCAGAGATAGCCTGACTGCCATTAGGTACCAAGATGAGATCCTCAGACCCCTTGTGAGACCATATGCTGGTGCAGTTGGCCCTGGGTTCCTCCTAATGCACGACAATGCTAGACCTCATGTGGCTGGAGTGTGTCAGCAGTTCCTGCAAGATGAAGGCATTGATGCTATGGACTGGCCCGCCTGTTCCCCAGACCTGAATCCAATTCAGCACATCTGGGACATCATCTCTTGCTCCATCCACCAATGCCACGTTGCACCACAGACTGTCCAGGAGTTGGGGGATGCTTTAGTCCAGGTGTGGGAGGAGATCCCTCAGGAGACCATCCACCACCTCATCAGGAGCATGCCCAGGCATTGTAGGGAGGTCATACAGGCACGTGGAGGCCACACACACTACTTAGCCTCATTTTGACTTGTTTTAAGCACATTACATCAAAGTTGGATCAGCCTGTAGTGTTTTTTTTCCACTTTAATTTTGAGTGTAACTCCAAATCCAGACCTCCATGGGTTGCTAAATTTGATTTCCATTGATAATTTTTGTGTGAGTTTGTTATCAGCACATTCAACTATGTAATGAACAAAGTATTTAACAAGAATATTTCATTCATTCAGATCTAGGATGTCTTATTTTTGTGTTCCCTTTATTTTTTTGAGCAGTGTACATACACACGTTTTATATATGTGTGTGTGTGTGCGTGTTAGTGTATATGGTATATAATCTATATTATAATACAAATATAAACTTTACAACTATATACAGACACACACACACACGTGTGTGTGTGTGTGTTTATTTATATATAGAAATCAAGATTTAATGCAGAATTTTCAGGGATTCATTTCTAAACTTAGGACAAGTAAGTAATTTTGTTATTGCTCTGTTACTGACTTGTGTTTCTGCCATTTTCTTAATTCCTTGTAATCACTGGGTTTCCTTTCCACATGACCTTCTGCCAGAGTTCGGAACCTCCACCCTAAAGCAGTCTTGTAGAAATGAACGCTTTTATTTTTTGATTCTCTGTCTTTGGACCTGCTTGTCATATGAGCACCTTCCCCCTAAATGTTACCACACCACTTTGCCACCAAAGATGAAAGGAGTAATCACCAAGATTTCTGCCATTGAATGTTGCCCTTTTCTTTTTTTTAGTGTGTGTGGGTTAATTTTGGTGACCTTACTCTTGCTTTCTGATAAAAAAATGACAGGAAATCTTGCTGCCAGTTTTGGATGCACAATCTCTAGGAAATTCAGAAGTCATATAACACTCGTATGTATTTTAAACTACAATAAAATAGTAGTGAATAACCACTACCTTTGATTTATGGATTAGCTAGTGATAAATTTGTCATTAACCATCAGCATTTGTTTTTAAATATTCAGTTATGAAGTGCTAAGCACTAAGAGGCTTACCTATGTAACCTGGAATGGTTTGGCTAGTATAGTTAAAACAAAGTGTTAGATTAACACACACAGCTGGTTGTCCATTTCTCACACAGTCCAGTATGGTTCGGTTTACAGAGTTAGGGTGTTTTAAGGATGCTTCCACAATAATTACAGCCCTTGTCCTAAAAAGAGAGAAATTTGTGACAAGATGCTCTATAAATATTAATGATGCTGGGCATTCCATTTTTAAAGACATACACGATTTAGATTCTAACAAATCAAATGACATATTAATTAAATAGCATGCATGCCTAACTTTTTATTATTTAAAAGCAGACAAGATCAGGATTGTACCCAGCTGAAAACAAGAGATTAACTTTTTCTTTCCTTGCTTGTCATTCCTCTTATTTGCCTTTTTGTGTGATAACATAAAGAGAATTTGTAGAAAGGCATAGGTGGGGATGAAAGAATTGGGCCACTTCTGAAAGTTAAAATCTACTTGAATCAGAATACCCATACTTACTTTGAAAACAGATTGTGTTTTGTGCTATGTACAGATAACTTGAGAAAGTTTGATGAAGAAATGCTAATTGTCCTTTCTGCTTTCAAATCATCCTCTGATTGTTAATGAACACCTTATGGCAACATCTTAGTATGCGAGACATGACTGAAAGATATATAAATTCTGAGGTTCCCATTGCTTGGAAAATAACTCTTAATGGTCCCATATATTAAATATTTAAGAGATATACTAATACTAGAAGCTTAATGGTTAAGTTCAGAGTTTAATAGTCTGAAATCAGCTATATATTGCAAATTTTACTTCAGTTGCCCCTCTAACCCTAAAATCTGTTCAAACCCACCTCAGTAATACAGCAGAATCTGACAAAAAAGCACCAACTGCTACATCTGTAAAAATAAAATTAAATAAATAAATCAGGAATACAGTTTGAAGATGGAGTCATTATAAATGTTCTCTTTTATTGTACACTCCTCTCTGGACTACATCAAAGTGCTGTTTGCACATCATTAATTACAGGAATATACTGATACATTAAGACATGTCTTATGATTACAATGTCTGAAACAGATTTATCAAAATATGGCTTAATTGTTTTAATTATTTTATTTACTTCTGCTCCAAATCCACAATAAATTTGAAATGGAAGAAAGTAAATTATAGAGTCCCCTAAAGGGAAGAGCAATTATAGTAAAATATTAAATTCCTGCTCAAAATCTAAAGATAGTAATTTACAATCCTCCTTGCTTCTACAGCCTTCTTTCCAATATTATGTGCAGGGGAAAGGGATCACATTAACATAACCACCCCTGGCCTTTATATTTTGAAAAATATTCTTCGGGTAGTTTGCCTCAGTGACATCCATGAGATCTTACTGAATTTGTCAGAATGAGAAAAGCAGAGTTATAGCATTGTGACACAAACTCCACTTCTTTTGTGGCTTCTGTATCCTACAACATGCAATGTAGAAAAAGAGCAGGAATTGCATCATGATGCCACAGTGGTGCTTTTATCAGTTTGACTCCCTCTCTTACACATGCTGCTTCTTCAAATTTCATAGGCAATCAAGAACATATGGAAAAGCCAAGAAACCTTGAAGCATACCCTGGTTTCAATGGGCAAAGAAAAATAATTTTCCCTCTAGGGACGTGCAGATAAAGTTAGTGCATGCTTCCTAATTTCTTCTGGCACCGCAGAACATACGGTCCCTCTGTCCTTCTGTTGGTTGCCTGAAGGGGTCTGATGCATCACTCCAGGAAACACTCAGTTAACGAAGGAGTTGCAACAAGATATTCTCATCAAGAAAGCACTTTCCACAATATTTGAGAGGAAGCATTGGAAGATAATGATATATATTCCAGTTGTGGTATAAATATACCAAGTGTCTTGTCTACTCTCTTATTTCTCTTTGCTCTCCTAGGAAATATTTACTAGAATTGTTGAAGGACTTGTTCTGCCTGCAAATGTGGTTGGACTACAAACTACCTCTAACAACATACAGAAAAAGAAGAATGTTGTCAACATCATTAGCATCTGTGCTGCTACAACACATCTAATCTTCACCTCACACTTACTGAGTCAAAGTTAGATAGTAGATTTATTTTCATTTCACTCTTCTCTTGAATCTTCTCTTTATAACTTCTCAAGTAAAATCCTGCATGTAGAGGCTATTTTCTCAATGTGACAAATCAGCTTGTTAAAATATCAGTGAATGTGCCTGCATGCTTCTATTCTCTACACAAGATGCCAGGATCATTTGGTGAGAACACTTCAGAGAACATCCTCATGATTTCTTTTCGGCTTCTCAATGGTGATGCTCATAAACAGAAGCTTCTAGAGCGCAGAATTTACATTGCAGTAAGTCATGAACAAAATTAAACAATGTTCTTGAGCTGCATGTAGTCTAGAGAAGGAGCAATAGAACAAACAAGGCTTGTTCATCAATACCTAACATGTTTTTCATAATATGACCACCCCATTATCATGGCATTCTTCTGGACCAGCGGACTCCACTGGACCGCATCAGTGAACATTGTGGATTGGAGGCACCCTGTTACACTGGCTTTTCTCCTTTCTAGCTCTAGCCTGTGAGACAAACAGCCAAGCTTTGCTGTGGAGTGCAACAGGACTTGGTTCTCTCCCTTATACAATTTAACATTCATATACCACCATTGGCGAAGTTAGCAGCCAGTCTGGGATGAAGGATACTGCACATTGCTAGTCTAGGCTGTATGAGGATACTGTGAAAATCCTCGTCCAATGTCTTGAAGCTGTGTAGTCAGCTGTGACCCTGTATGGTCAAAGTAAGTTCAGATTAAATCCTTGCAAGATGGAGCCATGATCAAGCTGCCTCTATCCCAACTTCAGTGTTCACTGTAGACAGAGGTGCAATTCTCCCAAAGGAATGCTTCATTCTTTAGGATTCTTCCTGGAGTTGCCTGCTAGAGAAGCTAGTGGAGGATTAGAGTTGGGAAGCTTTGCCTAACTTCAGTTGGTGCATTAATTGAAAGACCAGATCTTTTAACTTTTTTGATCGGAAAGTTTTGACAAATGTGACTCATTCCCTTAGCACCCCAAACTTAAAGACTGCAATGAGACTGCCCTTAAAGATAATTTGAAAACTACTACTCTTCCAAAATGTGGTGGTCTGACTACTAATCTACTAATTTGCTTCTGATTCCAATTCAAAGTGCTGGTTATAACTAAAAAGCTTTATGTGGCTTATCTTCTAGATCCCTCTAGAATTATCTCGCCCACGACTTCTGGGGAAGAAATAGTGAACTAAAAACTGCTCCACTAAAAATGGAGTTGACAATTGCAGTTGAATGATGAGTTGGCAAGTAGATCAGCTCTCTCCAGACAAGGAGAGAACTTAAGATCGCTCATAAGTGCTCCAGACAGCTGCTCCTTACAATGACAAGATAATCATTGGTGAGTTTAGAGCTTAGTCATCTTTGCTCAAATCATGGTTAGTGCTTTTTCAAAAGACACATAATTTGCACAGTTAATTATAAGACTCCTTCCCATGAGAAAATGCTGTTATTTTGAATTCTTAAAATGATAGGATAGAACTTTTGAAGGATGGACATTAGAGGAACCAGAAGAAACTAAAGATTACAATGAAAGGAGAATACTTAAATTTGATTTACTAATATACAGAATGGAGCAAAACACTAATGTCACATGTAGGCATACTGTGAATAAAATTACATGTCTGATTCTATTTTTCCATTTTCCTTTTTCCAAGTTGTTAAATTCCAGTACATTGGTCTGAAAAAAAAAATTAGCACAGCAACGCTGCAATTTTAAAGCATTGGAAAGGTCTGTTTAATTCAATAAGACTCAATGCTAAATAGATGCCTATGGGACCATGCATATTAATTCACTTACATATAAACAGGCTGTCTTTAAATTGCTTTTTACAACTTGTATGTTCATGCCAATTCTATTGCATTTTATTATTTGGTTTATAATGATTTTGATTTATTCATTTAAGTTTATGTCCCAGGCGGGTGTGCAAGATATAAAAAAAAACATTGCCCAAGTGATTTTAAGGGAACAAAAATCCTTAACTCACCTGAATACCCATTGCTGTCTACATCAATTCTCCCAGATATGGATTGACCAAACATGCGTAAAGTGTTGCTGATTTGATGTCCTTGAATTCTCTAAAAATTATTATTAAAACAAAAATTAAAAAAGCAGAATAGCTGTAGTATAGAAATAACAAGAAAATAAAACCCTAACCCTAATCCTTCCTTCATTGTGTGTGTGGGGGTTGCATTCATAAATGATGGTTCTTTCAATATTCCAAACACCTTCTTAGGATTAGGTAAACTGCTCTGGGAGTATCCTCAGAACTTCTATTAAGCCAAGACAAAATTGGCCACGTTCTTAAAAGTAATGGGTGGGACACAGAAAAAGTTGCACTGGTTTCATTCCATCTACATTCAAAGGAATGCATTCATGATATAATTAGTTACAGTTACATTGATTATAGGTAACATTACTTTGTCTTTTTTCTGTCTCATTAAATATTACAATCTGATAACAACTTTGGACAGGGATGGGATATGTAAAACATCTTCAACATCTACAGGTGGCTTTGGAACCTAGCATATCCATTTCTGTTCTACAAATATTTCTGTGCTGCTACCTTAAAATATTGTTAACGTAAGCAGCTTGTTTCTACAATTGAGCTGGACCACATGTGAACCATTAATATTGATATTATGACTCCGATTTACTACTTAATATTAACAGAAAAGGGTTGATACAAAGTGATCTTTTTTCCATTAATGACTGATAGAGGAAAGGGCTGTTAAGCAAGTGGCAAAATCTAGTTAGCATGCATAAGGGTTTCGACTAAGAGTCAACAATGACAGTATCAAATAAATGGGACAATTTAGATCTTTGTTAGGTATTCCATCTTTCCTCTTCCTCTGCCCCAACTTACTCCCTACTTTGCATGTGTAACACAGAATTTGTTACTGGGGAACTATTGTGTCAGTTAATTCCTACCCTGGATGCTTTCCACTTCTATGTTCTGCTTAATATAAAAAATGTGAATATGAGAAACTGGTTTATACTAGCTTATCTAGTCCAAATTGGCAATTGTCTTCCAGGACTCCACGCTGGAGATTTTATCTATCTGGAAATATTGGAAAACTGAACAGGTGTCCTTGACAATAGAGCCTGCTTATATAAACGAACAGATAATCTGGTTACAGTGAGATATTAAAAACAGTAGCCACAAGGATGATTTAAGGAGACTTACTTGTGAAAAAGTTGGTGATATTCCGTCTTCTCTGCCATTGTATATATAAACTGAGCCTTCTAAATCATTTTCTTGTGGAGCCCCAATGGCTACATCTGTTAAAAACCAATGGAAAATGAAATTAACCATGCATTAATTACATTGTACAACTTTTTAAAATATAAAATAATTGTGACTAGTACAGATCACTCCTTCCAATTTATTTTTTACAGAAGAATCACACAATAAATGAGGAATTATCTTAATAGAGTAGAAGAAGAAGAAAATGCAGATCTGTATTAGGGGATAAACCCTGAGTTAGGGAGGGATATTCCAATAAGCTACTCTATATTTATTTCTCTTGTAATTTACTACTGGAGAACTTGAAGATATAGCAGAAACTTATCATTTGCTCTCTCTCTCTCTCTCTCTCTCTCTCTCTCTCTCTCTCTCTCTCTCTTTTTCTCTCTCTCTCTAAAAGCTGCTCTCATAGAGCAATATAATAGTCTATAATATGGAGAAGCAGTAAAGCAGGCAACTTTATGTACATTGTTACATAATTTGTTTCAGTCTATTATCAATTATACAAGCAAAATCCAATGGGAAACAGATTTTTCTGGCAAAATTTAGACTTTCATTTCCTGAATAGGTCCAATGCTCCCTGAATATTCTCTAACAGAATTCTCTAAAAGTTCTACCACAATGGATTTTGGGGACATAAAGGGATGAAGGGGGAAAGGATATTGCATGGAAACCCTATACTCAGGCCATTCTGTCAACATTATTTTTTTTAATCAGAATTCATCATCTTGAAGGTTCCATACAAAATAACCTTAAGAATCTTTTTCTGGAGACAAAAATGCTACTGCCAATTAAAGGGTGTGCTAAATGAGAATTCATCAGTTTTGATTAGCTGTACTGTAAATAATATGCTAGACATAAATGTGGAATCAAAATTCTACACTCTTAAAATAATTGCATGTATCTCTAGACATGGTTCAGAATAGCTGTGTTTACAGGTAATACTGAGCAATGTATCTTACTCTTCCCTTTACACTACTATAGATTTTTAAAAAAACATAATAATACCTTCAAACCCATCATTATCAATGTCTCCTAAATTGGCAATGGAATCACCAAACCTTGCTGCATACAAATCACTTCCAGCTAGTGCTGTCTGCAGCTCCATCATCTTTGCTCCCTATAAAAATAAGTTTGATTAACCCTGCGTTTCTAGGTATTATATTACAATCATGAGGAGTTCTGTTTTACTTTTAGGTGTATAATTTGTAACCCACAAACCTCATGCAGCTTCCATTAAGTGTACCTCTCACACATCTCCAGGCATGTTACCAAATTAAAATGTTCTACATATTGGAGTCATTCAGTCATACTTTCTATATGGCAATTACTATGGCTCAAAACTAATTAAAGGAAGTCATACCTAACTCCACCCCAAATAATCACTCAAGTAACTGCCCAACTCTGCAACTGAAGAAAACAACTTTTGCATAGTAGAAATACACTTTAATGTACAAAGTTCTTCACCACCATCTCCCTTACAGGATCATTTAACAAAGGAGAAACCTAAATTAGAGACATTTAGTCTCTGTAAGTGACTTGGCTTCCGGATGAAAGGGTACTTTAGTAAACTACAAGTGTAAGATGAAAAGGCCTTTTCATTAAAAGTTTCTATAACTTTGAGAAATCAAAATCCATACTCCAGAAGTTAAAAAGTAGAGTTCCTGCCAATCATTTTCAAACTGGAACTCTGCAAATGTTCAAACATTTGAAGGAAAAGAAGCCATCCATTGTAGCTAACATTTTCATTAAAAAAGTTACATGCCCAGGCAGTTTCACTTCCATGAATTTTCTTTCAACAGCATTATAAAAGCATAAAGAAGTCGCTGTTTAGCTTTTTGATACTATCTTCCTTTTTTTTTTAAAGGGAGGGGGTACATCCAGGAACTGTTTTGCATCACTCTAAGCTAACCAGATGCAAGACAGAAAATAGTCAGAAAAAGCTTAGGTGCCTCCAGATATAAAGGCTCCTTCTAGCACTACCAGTCAAAACATGAATTTTCTTTATAGATCTGTGGCAAAGAAGAAAAAAAAAGTATCAAAGAAGAGTTGAAATATTTGGACCATTGTAAAAATTCATAACCATATGCTCGACAGTTTCACAGTAGATGCTTTATCTAGAAATCTGATGCCTTTCCATGTTAAAACATGTTAATCATTTCTACCTGCAAAGGGAGTTATCAAAATGATGATAATAATAAGTGTTATGAAAAAGCTGGTCCTAAGAATGGATGATTTATCCATTTGAATCAACTCCACAACACTCTTCAACAAGAATGAAGGAATACTTACAGAACCTGAGTTGAGGTAAACATAAACCCTTCCTTCTTCTCTGACTTTACTATGCATGGGTGCGCCAACTAGTAAATCTGAAAGGCCATCACCATTAAGATCCACCGCACAAACAGTAGCTCCGAAGTAAGAACCAAACTACCCACATAAGAGACAATGGTTAGTCAGGAAATCACCAAGGTGTATGAATATATCATGATGTTTAACAAACTTTATAAATGCAGAAGTATTATTACCTTTTTACCCCTTAATTCACTTACAATTGATAGTTGTTTGGGTTCAATTTTAAAAATGTAAACCTGAAATAAACAACAGAGATCAGCTGCATCAGAGGCCCTAAACAAACAAAAAACAAGAGGTTTCTTTATCAGTAAAAGCAGCTAACTATATATAATGTTTCTATGAGGTGAAAAATGAGAAATGGCCCGAATGGAGCAATTGCCTGAGGCAATGGGGTTTGCAGTAAGCCATAGCAGCTTTCATTAACTTCCTGTTCCTCTGTCAAAGTGATTATGTTGCACAATTTGGCCTAACCTTGCTTGCTGTCTTAGATGAAATAGGAGAAGTTACTCCATCAGTTATAATGTAGGGCTTAACCACTGATCCATCCAGCTTCAGCTCAGTAGTAGGCAATCATTAGTTCTTTGCTTCCAGCAGTAAAATGTCTTGGGTCACTCAAGTGCAACACTGGTCAACTTAGGAACGTCTCTTGACAATGGCCTGAATTGGACACTTCACTCTCTGATGTCTTCTAGCAAAGAAAATGCGTTACTTCATGAACCTTCTATTACTACTACTTGGTGGATAAAAGTCTAAAGATCATTGGCTTTCTCTAGCACAAATACACATTGGCAGTTGCATCCACTATTCATGAAAAATATGTCCTTGGAAAACATTTGTGGAAAAAAAAATAGTCTCAGGTTATTAAGTTATCACCAAAGACCCTCTGGCAGATAGTTCTTCCATGTCATTGCAAGTTATGAATTTATTTCTATATAATCTACCACATTAAAGAAAAACCTCTTACTTTACCAGTCTGCTCCTGCTGGGGAGCACCTCCAATTACTTCTGAACTACTTGCAGAAAGGAAGTGACCTGCTCCAACAGAATAACCTATCCATAAAAGAACAGTGAATGGAAGCAGTGAGTTTTCAGGCGCAGCATTCTGTTTCATGGCAAATAAACTGAAATCTTAGATTAAAGGAATTCTTTATTTGAGCACTGACTCCCCTAATTGGGAATGAATATGTTTGCAAACGAATAAACAGATTAATTCTGTGTCTGTGCTTGTATGTCCAAAAGTTGGATATCCAATCCCTTTAGCAATCTGTTTAGGTACACCTATTAGGATACTTCAATAGAATGTGGACATATGCTTTTATAGAATAATTCCCCTTTACACTGCGCAGAGGGCAATCAGGTGACTCTGTTGTTTATCTCACAATATGGGTGGAAATACAGGCCTCCATATGCTGAATTGGCACATTCAACATACCTTGCTGAGCAGAACTACTCTGAACAAGCGGAAAAATGCTCAAATGTTTGTTTACACCAAAGTTAAAATTGGTCTATAAAACCAACTTCCTCTGGGTGTGTATATGTATGCAGTGCAATCACTAAGAACTGCTTTGCATATGTCCTGTTGAAAATCTAAAAGGCGAATGATTTTTTTTAAAGAAAATGAAACAAACAATACTTTGAGTTAGAATTAATGCTCTCTAGAAAAAGAAATAGATTTTCTACATAAAGAGTGCAATAAACTAATACTATACATACTACACATTCTTGGGGGGAAAAGAAGAAACTTCAATATCTTAATATCAGCTCTGGAGGAATGTGATTTGCAATGCTCATCACATAAATGAAAAGCACAGTACAAGACATGTCTCACAATCAAAATATTTTGCATAACCCCACAAAACCCCATATGTAAGGAAGGCAACAAAGTCCCTTAACATTTTCCTTTAAGAAGATCAATGAAGTCCATGGAGGGCTCAGAGGTAACCATGCTTGAGGCTTCTGCTTAGCTCCACAGCATGCTAGTTTCTCACTTGCTTTATATATTTAAATGGAATTTTAAAACTAAACCAGGTAAGGTAAAATACTTAAGACAGCACTAAGGAACATGTCAGGAAGTGCACTGTTGCTTACAGCATCACCGCCTTCCATTTTTTTGTCTGAAAAGCATACTGTCAAAGAGGTATGTTAAAGTGAAGGATCATATGCAAATATTAAATAAAAAACATTTACCTAAATAACTTCCATACTTTATCTGATGATTCACATCCAGATATGAAATAAATATGTTTGCTGTTTTATTGTACACAAAGATGGAACCAGCCCAATAATCTGATCCTGGGGCTCCCATAATAATTAAATCCTAGAAAAAAACCAAAAAGCTTAAATCTTTTAATACATGGTTTGAAAGCTACAGTAGCTATTCCATTGCTAAATACATCCAGGCCAAATGACAAAAAGGCATTTTGTGAGCAATATACCATACAGTGTATTTTTCTCGTGTAAAGCATAAAAAAGTTCAACCTCAGAGAAAAGGTGATGAGTTTTATTATTGCTTTTGCATGACTATTCCCAGATCACATTACAATTTATGTTCTGTTAATTTCAAAATAGAAAGGTTAGGCGTGCACAGAACCCTCTATTTATTGTCACATTTATTGTCACCTTGTCACAGTCTTACTTCGGTATCTTTGCAATAGCAGCCCAAGATCACAGATTAATTTTGATTGAAACCAAACAACAATATTCCCTCTTTGCTTGGAATTAAAAAGTACCACTGTGGCAACATCTGCTTCTCAGGAAGAAGATGCAGCAAGCAATCTCAAGAGGACAACCTGAAGCAAGCTCTTTTCAACAGCTCATTTCACTCACCTCTTGCCAAGGAAAGAGGTGATGGTTGGGGTTAAAAAGAGAGAAAGAGAAAGCTCAGTCTGGAAGAGCATCAAGGAGGAGCTCCAGTTTGCAGGTGGATGATGAAGCAGCAGCTTCCCAGACAGGCCTTGTTTCAGTTTTTGAATTAGCATGCACTAACTGCAAGTTTCCCAGTAGCCCTCAACCTATGATCACAATTGAGCCTGAAATTTATGTTGCTACATGATAAATTTATTAGATGAGTTTTGCCTCATTTGATAATTTTTCTCACCACATTTGTTAAGTGAATCACTGCAGTTCTTAAATTAATAACACAGTTATTAATTGAATCGGGTTTCCCCCTTGACTTTGTCGGAAGGTTGCTAAAGAGGATCACATGACCCCGGGACATTGCAACCTTCATAAATATGAGTCAGTTGTTAAGCACCTGAATGTAAATCATGTGATCACGGGATGCTGCAAGGGCATTAAAAGGTGAAAAATGGTCATAAGTCACTTTTTTCAATGCTGTCACTAAATGAATTGTTGTTAAGTGAGGACTACCTGTATATTACCAAACTAAACATATTTTATTTCATGAGTAAAATAAATAGATTCAACAGTGAAGTAATAATCTTAACTTACACACCTCAGTGTAAAATGTTGATATCCCAGCCTGACAAGATCCATATTTTTCTCCATATTTTCTCCAAAAATCTGTACATTCACCAATGTGATTCAGAAAAAGAACATATTAAGACCAACAAACTAAATAATTCTTCACAAATATCACATGCTTTTTACAGTTGTTTAGACAAGCAAATTGAAATTAGCTAAACTATTACTACCTGACGGCAAATTTTTCAAAAGAAACCATCACTGTCCAGTCTCATTTCTAGAACTCTATTTTAAATAATTTAAATAGTGAAGACACTCATTATGGAAAAATATTTTTCTAATGAATATGTATATTATGTGGATTTTTATTTGTTTATTTTCCATTTTAAACTTTACTGACAAAAATTGTTTGAATTGCTGTTTTCTTTCATTCCCTTTACAATTTCAGACACAAATTGGCGAAAAGAATATTAGAATGTTCCAGGTTGGTGAAGTTTAAAAAAATCCTAGAACCCCTGTTCAAGATGCAAAGATTTCATGATAGGAAACGGGTCCTGTTCAAGTGGATTTTTCTCTCTCTAAAACTTTTGTTTATTCTTCCAGGCCTTGGCTCTGCCTCAAACGAAGACAAGCTTGCCTTGGTCCAACTAACTTCCACTTTTAGTCTAAATCAGGATTGGAAAGCTGGTCAGATAATCTAGCAAAGAGGAAACCGAAAGAATTTTTTAAAGTTATAATGGCCAATATCTTGAGGAATCCTGGAAAAACTAAGAGATATGATGAAGTTTTATTGTTGTTGTCATTTTTAAATGGGCTTCTGTTCATGGATAGAACCCAGCTGTATTGAGATGATATTCTAGGGCTGAGTTCAGTCTAAGTTCAAGGAACACTAAGACCTTTTTTGCTTCGTTCCTATTCGTGTCTTTCTATAGATACACCAGGCAGGAAATACTGGAAGAAATACCAATCATACCAATTGTCTTTCAAACACAGCCTTAATATTTCTTTTTATATAAATAATTTTAATGCACATTTGCAGTCACACAGAGATGCACTATAAAATCCCTTTGCAGGATTTCTAAACCATTTTGTTAAATAATATAAACACACCCTGCACTTAAAGCTGCCTCAAAATACATGAGGCTGAACATGAAGTCTTCCTGGTTACCTCTTCTCCAAAATGTTTACAATTCTATTTTCTATTATTCAATAGCAAGATTTTTTTTTTTACTTACCCTTATAGCAAGGGCATATTCTTTGACTTAACAAGGTTCGAAAATTGGGAGGTATCTCATAACAAATGCCATGTGGAAGTTTGTGCTCTGAAACATAATATACATTTTTCCATCTATGTCCACACACCTAGATAAAAATGAGACAGGAAAATAAGTGTGGTGATTGAAATAAAATAGCTTGACAAAGTATACTACTACTTTCAGAGCCACAAGTCAGGCCATTAATCCATCAATCAAATCCTACTATAGGATTTCAAAGAGAAATATTTCAGAAATATTTTTGCCTATAGAGCTACAGCTCTCTGTTTAATTTGTTATCAAACTAGATACTTTTCCCAAATACTTAATTTACACAGGGAAATATAAGGCAATACTTACAACAACAGATCCATTTTCTCCTGGCTGCCTTGCTAGGGTCACTCCCAACCACTGATTGTCTCTTTCTTCAGTGCAGGTTCTTCCACACCTTTCCCCTTTTGGATCACCTTTAATTAAAAAAAAAAGGTTTGTATAGGAACCTTTGAAACTACTCAAAGCACAGTAACACTGTAGAGTTAAATTTCATGTAGTCCTCGAATTATGGTCCTAATTGGGATTGGAATTTCCATAGCTGAGCAAAACAGTTGTTAAATGAAATATCATGTGAACTCACCTCTTAGCAATGGCAGTCCCAGGCATCCCAGATGTAGTCATTAGGCCAGGACCTCATGCTTCTCCTGCCTTTTATGAATGGTCTCCATTTGAACTCTCTCTACATACCAAGCTTCCACCACCTCTGTCCTTACCACCACCTACATACCACCACCTCTGTCCTTTTGGTTGCCTGCACAGCAATGTCAAAGTGAAGAGGCAACCAGAAAACGCTGCCTTCCCACTGCTCTCCCAGCTAATTTTCACTGTCTTTACCACTCCTCACCTGCACTGGGCTTGCTGTGTGGGGGGGTTGACCTCTGGGCACTGGGTTGCCTCCACCACTGCCCCCTGTCTGCTGCAGGGAGACTATGGTGGCAGAACACAGAGACCTCTTCATTTTGACCATGTTGTGCGGGATAGCCAAAAGGACAGAGAGAGGGAAAAGATAGGTGAGGAGGGGGAGTTGAAGCAAGATGAAGCAATGGTCATATATGCTGGCTGATTGCTAAGCACCCAAATCTCTGACCATGGTGATGCTGCAATGCTCTCAAGTGCTAGGTTTTAAATCCATTTTTTCAGTGCTGTCAGAACTTTGAACAATCACTGAACAAACTACCTCTGCATTGTCTACGTGAAAATAAAATTATAATTAAATCGATTAAGTTTCCATAACTCAAAATTATACCATAATGGAGACACCATAAAAGAAAATGACATTGCATTAGTGCAAGGGCTCTGAACTTTTTGCCATCATATGTCCTTGTAATCTTAGTTAATCTTAATCCTAAATATAATCTTTATGTACAAATTTCTCCTAAAAACCCAAACATCAAAATGAACACAAATGGAATAATGAAAACAATACAATGAAACCTTGGAAAAAATGGATTTATTGTAACAATACAATAAATGGTTCTTTACACTTACCCAGGCTACCTGCACCTTAGGATTAGTACGTGCATTAGTACGTGTGTGTAAATAAAGTTTGAGTCAGTAAACGTAATTCACCTACTAAAGTATTCAATAACTATAAATATAAAATCTATATAGTTAGATTCATCTCTGTGTCCATATTACAGAAAACAATGTTTGGCAGGTGACCCAGCAAAAGAATTCAGAATTCTTAGTTTCACAGCAAATTCAATGCAGGGAGAAAAAAAGCTCACAACCTAGGCAAAAACCACATAAAACCTCACAACCAGAATAACAAGGAAGACTTCTAAGGTGTCTGTTACACCCAGCTGTAAATAAGAATTTGCATTTTCAGATAACCACATTTCCACTTGCCACATATGGGAGGCCACCAATTTCCTTAGTGTGATCTCTGGCTATGTGGTTCTCAACTATTGCATATGTACATTATTTTACCAAATGCTAAAATGTTCTTATCTGATAGCTTTTGTTTTTGAGTGCGTATTTCAAAGCTTCTCATATTTTCATGCTGAAAAATAAGAATTCTGCTTTTCAATCTTTCATAACTTTGATCAACATACATTGTACAAGCACACATATCTAAAACTGGCCATAAGTCTAGTCACATCCAACATTGGGTTTAGCAACCTTTTTCAACTTGTCTCTTCACTCTTGCTAAGCATTTAGAATGGTAATACCACTTGTCAAATTTGGAAGGTGCAGAAATCTGAAGAGAATTAGGTTGGAAAAAACTATGGTACAAGCAAGCAACCTTAATCACTGATTTCTCAAGGTAATTATATCATAAGAAAGCTTGAAAATAATTTCTGCAAGTCAACTCGTAACTTCACTGGAAGTTCATAGGTTTTCTTATAAAAACTTAAGGAAAATCCATAAAACCACTTCAGTTCAAAGTCTTTTTATAATAATGTTTCTCAGCCACATTCTGCAATTCCAGCATTATAAAATACAGTAAGATTCACTTCAGGATTTGAAGATTACAACTGTTTATAGAAATACTGTATATTATTGATTTTAGAGTAAGAGATTAATGTATTTTATATTTGTATCTGTATCGAATGAAGTTGGAAGTTATTTTATTTCCCCTATACACTTCTTTTGTGTCCATATTCTGTGCTATTTTTAATCCTTTTTCTAATGTTTCTTTATATTTTAACTTTTCTTAAAATGTAATAAAGTTTTTTTTTTAAAAAAAGATTTCATTCCCAGTCCCAGTAAGAATTGAGAACCTTAAGGAATGGAGAACAGGTTCCATGGATAAAACTGCCATTCTGTCAACTCATAAGTGCACATAATAGAAGTAGATGTGTCCCCAAATACTGGTTAGTCTGTATAGTACTTCAAACCACCTGATCCAAGCTGCTTAGCCCTATTCCATCAAGGGTTATATTTAGGAACAGAAGTATGATTTTTCTGGATTTTAAGCTTAGCCCCCCCGTTTGAACTATTTTGCTTTTTATATAACTGATTCTTCCTTTAGCTTTCTAAAACAACACACCAAAAGTAAAAAGTAAAATACAGCATACTGTAAAGCACAGCTAATTTTCAAAATAAATATTCTAGAAACATGTATGGTCTAAACATGGTACAAGTGCTTTGTATTAAAACAAAAATGTTACTCTTTGTAAAACCCTGGGATTGTATTTCCTAAATTAGGTAAAATGTTTATTTTGAAATATGAAACCATTCTAAAAGCAATTAGTATTCTTTTTTACTCCAACATATTTCCAGTTTGGCCGATATGTAAGATTTGCATTTGAGAGTTAATTATTTTAAAACAAAACTATATGTAACTATATCAAAGGTTCCTTTTTACAACTTGCACTGAAGAGTGAAAAATGGAAAAAACAGACATAAGTTTACGAGCAAGCATATGTTATAAATGAAAATGAACAAAAATGCTTCAGAAAACCAAAAACAGCCTCATATGGATGAACTCTTAGAGGATAAACTTTTCAGAACTTGAAGACCTTTTTCAAGAAGCTGGAGAATTCAATCATATATCTACTCGGTCTTCTCTTCTCATAATTAAACTATCTCAATTCTTTTAGCCTCTCCTGAGATTATGTGTTCAGTTCCCTCATTATCATTGTTACTTTTGTCTAAATCAGTTCCAGTTTCTTTAAACCCTTCTTAAAATGTTGTACCGGTCCACAACAGAAAGTGTCCTCACATATTGCATTGCGGTGTGGTATGCTGGCTTGACAGGCCACGGAAAGACATTACAGAGGGCGGTGAGCAGAGCACAAAACATCGTCCCCTGATACCACAAGATGACCTCGCTAGGACTCGCTGCCTTAGAAGAGTGAGGAAAATTCTCAGGGACGACCCACATCCCAGTCAGCACTTCTTCACTCTCCTACCATTGGTAGGAGATATAGAAGCATAGCCAACAAGCTGAAGAACAGTTTCTACCCGTGGGCTGTCAGATTTCTGAATGGAAAATAACTTCATGTCAACATACCGTGTTTCTCCAACAATACGGCCTCCACCAATAGGAAGCCCCACCATGTTTTATTGGCATAAAATCAAATTAAGCTCCTCCCCCCAAATTAAGGCCCATATTAAACATGCGAAATGGGGAGGAATGGTGGGGGGGGGCTTGCCGTTAGGAAGTACTTTTGTTGCATGCGCGGATATGGTGCTGCCTGCGTTGGTGGGGCACTTCATATCGGGAGACCTTCCGCCACCGTTGCTTTCCCTTCTCCCTTGCTGCCGCGGCGTTAGAGCAACGCCACGGCGTTTGGCGCAGCCACGTGCGGCCAGCCAGGGCTCCTCCCTGCAACCGGAGCCCTGCAAAGACACTTGACTTCAGGCACTCCTGTCGCCGCCTTCCCTTTGCCTTCGAAGGTAAAGCGAATTCTTTTAAAAACGACACCCGACTACAACAAAGCCTCCCCTGCCCGAGAGGGCAGCCCAACCCCACATGGGGAGGCGAATCTCCCGGGGCCGCAGCGCAGGATCAGCCCACCCCGGGAGAACCGCCCAGCCACCATCCCTGCCTGGCGCCGGGCAGAGCGCGAAGAGCTTCGCCTGGGGCGCCCAGCACAGCTGACAGGCGGGCCCTCCTGCCCGGCAGCAGAGCTCTCACCAAGGCAGCGAGCGGCTCCCTGCCAGACTCTCCGCTCATCCCACCAGGGCTGCGCCGGAGCTGTGCGGGCTGGGCAGAGCTGGGAAAGCGAGCCACGGGTGCACACCCGCCTGCCAAGCGAAAGAGCTGGGCTGACCCTAGCTTGGCTTCCTTCCCAAGTCCCTCCAGCCCGAACCTGAAGGGGCCACCGGGAGAGGCCGCCCAAGGCAGTGATAGCGCCCACCCATCCATGGACAGGGAGGCAAGGTGACGGCCTGCACCGCGTCCTCCTCCGAGCTGAGCCCCGCCAAGTCAGCGCCTCTGCCTGATGCCCGTTCCGCTGCAGCGTTTGGAGCTGCCGGCACATTTGGAGATGCATGGGGACGGGGACGGGCTGGGCGAGGGGTGGAAAGGACAGGGGGCTTCGGGCTCTCTCTCACTGCGGACAGGTGGGCGCTATCACTGCCTCGGGCAGCCTCTCCCGGTGGCAGCTTCAGGTTCGCGCTGGTGGGACTTGGGAAGGAAGCCAAGCTCAGGTCAGCCCAGCTGTTTTGCTTGGCAGGCGGGCGCGCACCCGCGGCTCGCTTTCCTGGCTCTGCCCAGCCCGCACGGCTCTGGCGTGGCCCTGGCGGGATGAGCGGAGGGTCCGGCAGGGAGGCGCACGCTGCCTTGGTGAGAGCTCTGCTGCCAGGAAGGAGGGCCCACCTGTCAGCTGCGCTGGGCGCCCCAGGCGAAGCTCTTCGCTCTCTGCCCGGTGCCAGGCAGGGATGGCGGCTGGGCACTCCTCCCGAGGTGGGCTGATCCTGCGCTGTGGCCCCGGGAGATTCGCCTCCCCACGTGGGGTTGGGC